ACTCACAGAGACAGATATAATGGCAGACAGACAGACACACAGAAATAGAGAGAGATATGTGCATTCGTGCACACACACACACAAACACACACAAACTAGTGATTGTCCCAGTACAGGCCACGAGGAGCCTGTCAGATTACAGGAGGGTAATTGAATGGTAAGGGAGCAGACAACACATCTAGCACAGCCGGACTCCAGAGGCGGCCGCCACCATACCAGAGCTCAGGGGAAATTCAGGCCCCACTTAATAGTGAATTGGAGATGGGACATGTGTGTGTGTCTGGGTATGAGTTTGTGCGTGAATGCTTGGTAGGTGTGGGACAAAGGAGAGTGCCAATGGCAGCAGCAAAAATGGTCACTAAAAATCTGAGGAAGGCTGATTTGAAAAACTACTTGACATGAGCAGACAAAAACACCCTGAAAAAAAACACACAAAGTAGAGAGAGAGAGAGAGAGAGAGAGAGAGAGGAAGAAAAACAAAGAGAGAAGGGAGACAGATGTATACAGGGACAGAACGAAAAGCAGAGCAACAGAATAATGTAGATGAATAGAAAAGCTTAGAGGGAGAAAGATAAGGCAAGGGAGAAGAGGTTTTGAGAAGGGGAGTGAAATGCAGAGGCAGAAAAAACATGAAAGGGGACAGCAGGGACAGCGGGGGAAAAGAGCGGCCAGGAGAGAGAAAAGAAAGAAAAAGATAGAGGAGCAAGAAAAAAAAGGCGAAGGAGAGCTGCTATATGATGAGCCCGAGAGTCCATCTGCCAATGAGCATCTCTAATAGCAGAGGAAATTGACAAGTGAGTGTTGTGAGGGAGTCAGAGAAAAGCACTGTGGAGCACACAACATGAGGAGAGGAAGACAAGTGACAAATTATTGTCGTTTTTTTTTTTAGTGGCACTTTAATGGCAAAGAACACATCATAATTGTGTTCCCATATGAATAGAGATGAGCACAATGCATACATTATCATATGGATTAAAGTGTGTGTGTGTGTGTGTGTGTGTGTGTGTGTGTGTGTGAGACAGGCAGCCGAGTTCTGTTGGGTGCCTGTCTCTATAGACGGAAGCCCAGCGGCTGGGTAGAAACTAACAAGTAACTTCACTCTGGTGAGAAAGACTGAGTGGGGAGGATGTGGAGAAATGGATTGAAGGAGAGAAAAAGAGAGAGTGAGAGACATAGAAAAAGCACAGAGAAAGAGAGAGAGATAGAAAATTAAGGTAGGGTGTAAGTATGGAAGGAGGAGAGAGACAGGAAAAGAGAGGAGAAAACAAGAAGGTCTGCTGGGTGTAAAGTTTCCCCTGGATATGATATGTGGATATGGGGATGTCATGAAGCCTGTGAAGTGGAAATAATAAAGAATTAGGATTGTCTCTGAAGACAGGGGAATTAATCCAAAATGAATTACAAAGGGGGGGAGAGGAGGAGAGGAGGAAAAAAATCAACATCAGCTATTTCCTTTTCCTCTGCTTCGAGGCAGATAGGGGGCGGTTTGTGCGAGTACTGTGAATCCCATAAAAATTAAATTAATAACAAAGGGAAAAAACACACACACACACACACACACACACACACAAATAGAAGCAGAAAAAATTAGTAATACGGGGGTGGAGAGAGATAGTCATACAGAGAGCAAGGGTACAGATGGAAAAAAAAAAAAAAGACGAGAGAGATTTGAGGGAACTGAGGGTGGGCACTGTTGCTGCCAGATTGCACTGCTCTTTTGTTCCCCCTCGTCTTTCTGGAAAGGGCTGCCGGTGTTAAAGAGGAGATGCCGCCGAGGCCATTGTAATAAATGCCACTTGTAAATTGCGGAGTGGAATTATACAGCGTACAGATGGATCCATACGCCTGAGCAAAACGTGGCCAAAAAACCGGGAGCGATAATTAAGACTTAGGGGGTGAATGACAGTGCCATTTGTGACGACGGAATATGGCGTCTCCTAGCTCTCTGGGAAACAGAAGGGCTCGGAGAGGCTCGGTGTCACAAAACATTACCCACACAGCTGTTGGCTTTATGAGCAGCAATGGTGTACTCCCTTCCTCCCTCCCCTCCCTCTCCTCCTCTTCTGCTCTCTATCTCTTTCTACCCTCTTCTTCTCCAAACCCCCCCTTCACCCCCACCCGTCTCCCCTTGGTCACCACACAGTGGTGCTGTTCTTTTCGCAGGTTGTGGCATTTTAAAACAACCACCCCTTCCCTCCCCCAAAACACTGCCACCATCCGCTCTTCCATCCATCGCCACCCTCTTCGCCTTCTTCGCCTCACACCACCATCCTTGCCATCTCTGAGGGACTAGACAAGGACTTGTACTCCATCATTCATATCCAGGGGGGGAGGAGGAGGAGGAGGAGGAGGCACTCCGCATGCACACAAATATAGAGTAACACCCAGGCTGAAAATTCAATAAAAAGCACTGACACTGACAGTGCTTGGTACTGTTTTGAATGGGAGTTTGGGCTTACTGGGGCTCTGGGCTGACTGTAAAGTAGGAAAATCGAATTCTGTTGTTTTTCTTCTCTCTCTTTGTTAAAAAACATTTTTGTATGCCATCCCTGCGCTCACAATGTCCACACAAGTCCATGCATGCTACACTGCTTGTAAGGTTCAGGAATCATGTCTGTGCTTTGTTCATACTCTAGCTCATTTCAAGCAGTTTTCTCTAAAAATCACTAGACGCTGGTTCCGTTGCACTCCTGGGAATTCACCACATCTCCTGCTCAACAAGTGCAACTGTCATGTACCTGAATACCTCTTTTGTTTTGTGTCATTGCATTATAAATTCTCACCGTATCTCTTTGCAAACACCACCAAGAGAAACTCTTGCACATTTATCCTACTTGGCGAATAAAGTGATTCTGATTCTGATGTGTCCCCCAAACTCTGCCCTTTAGTCTCCGTCTCTCTGCTAAGTCCATCTATCTCTCTGCCTGGCTGGCCAGCCTGTCTTCTGTTCTCGTCTACCTCTTTGTCTCTGTCCCGGGGGCCTCAGCAGCGTGCAGAGTAGCCTGCGAAGTCTTAACTCAAACGAGACCCCTTCGCGCCCCGTTAAACCACCGACCTTCTCTGTCACTCCTGTCGCCCGCTGCTGCCGACGACGGGGGCCTGAGCTGCAAGCTAAGAGACCCCGAGCTCAATAAAAGTGTGGGTGATTAAACAACTCCCTGTAATTGCTCCTTTTGTGCAGAAATCAAACGGTCACACTTATTACGGAGGCAGGAGAGAGGGAGGTTGGGAGCAGTCGCTTCCGCCGAGGGCCAGACACCCTCAGTGACCCTCTGCCCTCCCGTCACTACTCCTTTATCTGACCAAACAACCACTGTGTAGTGTGTGTATTTACCTGCATGGGTTTGCGTGTGTGTGTGTGTGTGTGAGAGTGTGTGTGTTTGTGTTTGTGCTAATGCCCAGTGCGTATGTGCCAGTGTGTGTGTGCCAGTGTGTGTGTTAAGTATGCAAAGAAAGCAGTTGAAACAAGGCAAAGTAGAATAACACCAGAGCTCCCCTCAGTGGTGTATGATTGAACTACATAAGAGGCCCCGGTTGGATCTAACCGATGTGCAGTTGTGTGCCACCAGCCAGCTGGCTTTGGTAATGGGGGACAAAGCCAAACCAGGGGACCGTGTCCAACATGAGGGCCGGGTTTCAGAGATCATAGTAACATGTGAACCATACACATCATCTGCTAGTCTCACACGCATATACAGATATCAGTACAAGGGCCCAGCCACAGGCCCCGTCAAATGGGTCAGCTCACAAAGGGAGGGGTCCAATTACCGTAGCCACAAATACACACATAAAGTGCCTTTCAAGGGTCCATGAGTGCTTCAGCTTCCCCATGATTATGCCCACTCTCTACACACCCAGCACTTGTCGTACACACACAGGGCCTCCTGTGCCAAAACAGCCATCAGACTGGACTTTTGCAGCGGAGTAGTGAGAAGAGATGTGTTCCACTGGTTTGAAAGAGGAGAGCTTTCTGTGGTCAGAGAGAGAAAGAAGGAGAGACAGAGAGAAGGAGGAAGGACAGAGCGAGCAACTGGCTGGTCAACAACTATTAGTGATCTGCTCTCTTTGAGGTGAAAGCATACACTGCCATATTTACCCGTGAGAGATTAGATTTTAATAAATCATCCAACAAATTCAATGTAGTTTTAGCAAGCATGTAGGTGCTGCAGTATATAAGTGTACCACTGCACCACTTCCTCCAGAACTTAATCAATAAGTTTTGAAAGGAAAGTCAGTTTGACTGGGGGTGTCGTGCTTAAGGCCTGTGGTGTTTCTTTCATTTATTTTTTAAATTAGTATGATGTGGTGTCTAGACAGAATGACAATTCATTTTTCAGTTAACATGTATTTCTAAAGCCAGTCTGACACATATATATTTACTCCCTCTACATATCAAAGGGTAGTTCGGTGTGTATATAGCCACTTCTTCAAATATCCCTTCACCTCTCCTTAAAATTACCATTTGCATAGTGTATTAAAAATGTATGTGATCATAGCAGGACAGACATATTGGGTTTATTAATCAGTCTATGATTATTACTCATCCCACTGTCTTTCTGATTATTCAGGGGTAGCGTTGAGGTAAAGTATTTTTACATGATTATCACCATTTGATATATGACCAACATGCTTTGTGATGCACACAACCACATACATTTTTTTTTATAAATATAATATTTATATTAAACATGTGTCAGCATGTTAAAAGCAGGATATAATGGTAGACAATTACAAAACATTATAATTCATCTATGACTGAATCAACTTTTTCAAATAATCATACATGTCAGATGAATGAATACAGAAAAAAAAAATGGTTTGAACTTTAGTCTAGACTTCAAATAAAATAGAGGACTCAGATGGTCTGTGTATATGTCCATGGAGTAATGGTGCCCCCTTCTGACCAAAATGTTAGCATAAAGCCTCAGCCACAATAGCAATTCTACATTTAATGGTCAACCTGTTTTCTACAGAAACATCAAAGAAAAGGAGACTGTATATAAAACTGTGCAAAATCAGGCTTTATTCTTTTTTTTCCCTTCATCGTCGCCTTTCATCATCATCATCTTCATAATCACCATCATTGTCGTCAACATCATTTTTGAAAACATTACTCACCAGAGACAGACTGCCAAAGAACAGATTCTCAAAGAGACTCGCAGCTCAAACCTCTTGGCAAAAACAGGCATTAGCTATTAGCACAGTCCCGCAACACAATGAGTAAGCTGTACATGTCCACTTCTTTCTGGGCAATACATTTCAACAAGGTCTCCAATGTCCTTATTTACAATTTGCTCACTTTCAGTGCCTCAAAGTCCATTCAGTAGTCAGAATTTTAGTTCCAGGAGACAACGAAAGCCCATCTCAGTTGAGACATATTTAAGATGTTGGATATTTTAGTGTTTGCGGACTCCATAAATACTTTTTCTCCCCTTTATCTCCACTACCCGTCTGCAGGTCCGAGGACAGTCCATTTCTCCTGTTTAGGCAAACGTTGAATAAGTGCAATGTCTAGTATAATGTCAAGAAAATACAAACCCACACGTACATACATACATACAGTACATGACTAACTGATAAACTTGATTAGCTATACAAGGTTGCCATTCTCCAAGGTGAAACCAGAGTTGCACATTAATGCAGATCTATATCATCCAGTGTCCATTAGTCAGGGCTGGGGAGGATATGAGCTCACCTGGACTGGATACCGTTTGTAGATAGTTTGGTAAAATTGTCCATGATTTTCTGTACAGTGGATTTTGTAGGTTGTGAATCCAATGGGAAGTGTAGTTCATACACAAAGAGATTCATTTCAAAATGAGATATCCACCACTTAAAGAAAAAGTGATGACAACTTGGAAAAAAATGGCAACAGATTGTGGTTGTTTTTTAAAAGTTATGACACAGATTAAACCCAATCAACAGTTTTTTTATTTTAACAAGAGTGAGAGGATGGTTATATATGTAGAATTGAATCACTATACTGTATTTATATTGCTGTTGTTAAGGGGTAAACCTCACAGCTTTAATTTGACCCGTTTAGGGTTTAGCCTGATATATCCTCCATAAATCAATTTTTGACAACTAAGGAGCAGACACCAAACCAAACTCAATGCAACTGGGCCTTGTTACAGTTTCATTCACAGCATTCAAGAACTGCAGCTCTCACGAGTCTTTAACATAGGGTCAAAACCTTATGAGCATTGTAGTTGATGAATATGACAAATTCAGGCAGATGTAAGAAATATTAAGAAATTATTGGCTAGAGATTGGCTAGAGGAACAGTGGCTAACCTCAGCAAACCAAAACAACAAACTAAAAGCATCTTAAGGTGCAAAAAGCTTCAGATGTGAGTGTTGATTTGCAGTGTGATTAGCAGTAATATCAGCCCTTTTGCCTTACAGAGCATTATTTCATGACATGTAAAAAGCAAAAATATTAAATGGAGCTGTGAGGAAACTGTATGACCCTTGTTGTTGACCTGCCATGTTACACTTCTGTCCAGTTAGATAGAAGTAGCAGTTTTTTCTTTTTAATTCCTGCTTGTTTGAGATTTGGGGGCAGTGAGGTTTTGAAAGTGCATCATCAATCAGAACTGTCTTAATTCTGTACTGAAAAATCATAATACTGCTAATGGATTTTTATATTTGATAATGTTATCAAAAACAAAGTGCCTATAGTGTATGTAACTTGGGTTCAAGCCACACCTCGCTTATTAAATTCTGGGAGCGAACAAAATGACAGAACAGTGCTTGCCCCTCAGATAACCACGTCACAGACCTTAATTCATGTCATTAGTCAAAGAATATTAAATAAACTGCTCAGATATAAGGCCTTTGCAAACACAATAAGAGAACAAACTTCTATGTGCATGTAAATCCATCACTTATTTGTCACAAAGGGATCTAATTATCATTTGGAATGATTTTTTTTTTTTTTACTAGATATTCACAAAGAGAAATGATAAATAGAGATAATTAGGATCAGTCAGACTGCAGCAAGAAAGGAGAAAGCCCCGTCAATTCTGGGTTTGAAAGTGTGTGTATGTTTGGAGAGTCACACCAGTGACTACTTCCTTTTTTCTTTATCAGTGTGTTACGTTTCTGATGAAGTGACACAAACTGAAAAAAGCAGACTGACTTTAACCAGGTGAACCTAACTGAATGTTAAATGAACATGTAATGCATAACCACTCGGAGACGAGGAACAAAGGAGAGAGAGAGAGAGAGAGAGAGAGAGAGAGAGAGAGAGAGAGAGAAATGAGAGGATCAGAACAAAACAACTTTAGAAATAATATGCTCAAGAGCTCCCTCTGCCTTCAGTATCAGGCCCGAGTTCAGCTCGCCCAAACATTCGCTGTCTGCCTGCCTGTGTGTCTCCGCCAGAGAGACACATGGAGAACCTCCATTAGCTGGAGTAGATCTGGGTCCCAATCACACGCATGATCTCCTTCTGCACCTTAGGCTCCTGGGTGTTGATGTTGGCATCTCCTACTTGGCCATCCTCATACCTGCGCATATTATACATCAAAGAGTTGACATGTTTTCTTTTCATCCTTTCATTAATAGCGGTTTAAGTTTTTATTAACCTTATGTAACCTTTCCACAGATAAATGAGCCTATGTGAGTTGCTCTTGTCTTGGAAGCAAGTGAATTACAGTGATTTTAGAGGAGGCATCGTTAGATCTGACACAACAAATCTTTTTTTCTAACCTATCTACCAGTTCTTCAAGATAAAAAAAATACAACCACACACTCAGCACGAGTTCAGAACTGAATTATATTTAGCTGTGATTTAAATTTGATTGCAGGCCATCTCAAATCTAATTTCCAACTCAGAAGACAGCAGTGGACATGATAATAGACTTTGCCATCTGGTGAATGCGTGTGTCTAAAGCTTGGACACACAGCCCTAACATCAGCTGCCAGTGTGGATGCCATGTTTTATTTGCTGAGCTCCAAAACAACAGTTTTAGACATCCTTACTGAAAGGCTATGACCTGAGAGGGACCACTTTAGTGCAGTGATAACACCACTCAACCATCAGCACACTTAGGCTTTGACTGCTAATTTTAAATGATGATGAGTGATGTGGGGCAACTGCAGTATATTTAACCATTTGAGGGATTAACTGTGCACTTTAAAAGTATGATAATGATTTTCAGATTTATTGGCTGCAATGCCAACTTTTGTCTCAAATGATAGCTTTCATTCAAGGAGTCATCAAGGAGTTAAAAATGTTGGATACTCACACAAAGAAGAAGCGAGTACAGACGTGGTCCGAAACTGGACACACCCAAATGTTGCCGTGTTTCTGCAGATCCTTAGATGTGATCACTGTTTAAAAGAGAGTCTCATGTTAGACCACAAGTATCAAATATGAATGGTAGTTCATATTTATTATACCATTTTCCACTCCTTCTGATATTAGTATTGGTTGTAATAGCAACTGTTGCTGTTGTTTTTGTTATTATACAGCAAAACTGTATAGTACACTTTACTTAAACTAAATTATTATCCTAAGTAATTAAGTTTTTAATTGTTTTCTCCTGTTATGATGATGATCATATTGTAACTATTAACTATTATACATTATTGTTAATAATACATTACCCACTTTTATGTAACTTTAAGGTATCGTTCACCATCAACTATGATGAAGGAGCCTGAAAATTGTATAATTGTTGTTAACTGACTTAATTTAATTGAATGTATGTTAAGATAGATACACAGCATAATATACACACATTTCTATCATTATCTCAACTTTAACTTATTTACCTGGCAAACACCAATATGTTGCTCTGGAATATTATTGAACAGACATTATTTTCTAATCTTTAACACGTGTTATACCTCCTGCTTGTGATTACCTTCACACAGAGCGATGCAGTTCAGATTTCGGCTCTGAAGAAACCTTGATTGTATTGGGCGGCTCTACAGAAAAGAGAGGCAACAGTTAAGTCCCACCAAGCTGCTGCAGTAAAGACCATGATCTAACTGAGTTAATGACAGTATCCAGAGGACTGTTCTAAAATGTATAATTACAAACACTGAAACTGTACTGAGTTCAACAGTCAGAATTAGGGCATAGGGATTGTTAAAAATCAAAGATTTGTCTCCTCCCTTTTATTAATACATCTTCTACGTGTATAATGGGAACCTGGATTCATAGAGCCCCACTATCTTTATAAATGATGCAGTATTTCTTATATTTTATAAATTCAGTACATGCAAGGCTGTAATATTTCCAGTTCTTTCACCTGTGGTATGGTGTTCATTCGGTTGTAACGCTGCACCAGTTCATCTTTGGTGGGCATGCGGTGCTGTCCTTTCCCCATTCCTGCAAGAAGCAGCACACAGAGAGCAAACAACCACGAGTCAGAACGACCTTACCTCAAGTCACTCAAGCTGTGAAAAACTTTCCTTTAGTGGTCTTGAACTCCTTGTACAGAGAAATTATTACTCACAGAGCTAACCTTCATATGAAGGTTATTGTTCAAAAATGCTACTGAATATTTCTACATGAATTGTGACAATTCAGTATCAAAACAAAAAGGTGATACAGAAAGTACAGCTGTTACCTTTTTTATTATCAAAAGTATGTGCTTTAGATAGCACCTGCTTCTGATAACCTGTGCCATCAACTTAAGTATTTATTTATTAGTATTGATTGAGCAAGGATGGATTAAGCCAAATGGATATAATGCCACCAACTGTTGCATTTGTTTTGCCAGCTTTAACTTAGGATAATGAATTGCATACCCATCCTTAAAACTGTGGCACTGTTTTGGAGGTTTGGTAATAGAGCCAACAGGTGAGCCACTTTGGTAACCTGCTGACCTCTTGTCCACATAGCCAGCACCAAAACCACAGTATAGCAGGACCTCAAAACCAACCTCTGAAATTGTGTATCAGCAGAAACACACTGGGGAAGTAAGGTTAATGTTTACTTTGAATGGCTCTACAGCCCCACCCCAAGAAAGGAAAACAATATAAAAGCCAACAAAGTACAAAGTAATGCACACAGATCCAGTGACAGCCCCATTTTACACAGCCACAACATAATGTATGGTATGGTAGGCGGCACATAAGCTCATAGAAAAGGCCCAAGGCCCAGCACCCAAAATGGACACAAAACACAGAGCAGGACAACAGAATAGCATGGAAAGCTCCCACATATGAAAATGAAGTGCTCCAGGATGATAATCAGGCCATGTTACAAACACAGAACGTATTCAGTCAACATGGTAGGGGGGGAAAAAGTGAGAGGGGGGCCGGAGTGAGCTGAGTGGCGAGGAATAAGCCGTTCCTACCTGAGTATCCAAAAGATATGCTGGAGATGGGGCTCAGATAGATGCCCTTTCCATACGCTGCACCATGCAGCTTGGGTTTGAAAAGAGCAGGAAGGAAGGAAGGATCACTGAGCAGTTGCACAGGACAACCTCACATACACACACGGATGTACTCACACACAGCGCAACACATACCAGTCCTATTGTAGTTAAATCACAGGAAAGCATATATAAGTTAGTGTTTTATATGTTTCTGTGAAAGTTTACGTGGCAAATCCAACCAAGTATACTAAACACACACACACACACACACACACACACACACACACACACACACACACACACACACACACACACACACACACACACACACACACACACACACAAAACTCTATAGATGGCAGCTGGCAAAGAGCCAAAGAAAGAAGTTTTATTATTCCAGTGATCAAACAGTCACACCTTTACTAACTGCCAACCTATTTTCTCCGGACATAAGGTAGTCCATTGAAGATTACATGATGCTCTTGATATTTTTTGTGAATTAATTTTGTATAAAAAATGTTTCAAAAGTATTCAAGCAATGTGAAGACATGAGAAATGAGACCATGTATGCTGGCTTGAAGGTACAGATGGTAAAGTATAAAGATGACTGATGATGATGAGCCTCCACATAAGGAATGTCCAGAATGAGGAAAAAACAAAAAGGACCACAGGTGTAACAACGTGGACAAGTGTTTGTAAGCCACAGTGAACCCAAAGGAGAAACAAGAGGAAGAACAAAGATCAACTTGAGAGTTTGGGAATGAAATGTGAGGAAGATGGAGGTCAGGACGTGGCACATCTGGAAGAAATCAAAAGGAAAAAATAGACAAGAGTTTTTGTGTGATGGCTAGAGCTGGAGGCAAACTCAGTCCTCTTCCTCCTGTGAAACACAATGACAGAGGGATGGGAGGGGGTGTCAATGCTCAAGGTGAAAAGGAGAGGAGAAAGAGAAGGCAGACGACGAGCACTGAGGCGAGATCAAAGATGGAGAGTTCAAAAAGTTGGAGAACAAAGAAGGCATAAATGAAACACATCAGCATGATAGAGCAATCCCGGCCGACACGAAAGTTTCACAGATCCTTGAGATTTCACATTAAATTGTGTTTAATCTATTTTCAAGACATGCCATCTCTAAGCAGTCATTATCAGCTGTATTGTGCAAATTAGACAATTCGGTGCTCTCAATTGCTCACTTCTTCTTTTCTTGTTTTATTATTTATTTATCTTTTGCAGACTTGGGTCACAAAGTGCGACACCAACCTTGGCAGAACAATATACAGATGCAGATGTATCCAGACAGAGTAAAAGAGGAATACATCTGGAAGAAAAGTCTCTGCTTCTGCCTGAAAATGATCTTTACGGTCCTGATTTGGTCCATTGTATCCACCTGGTAGCAACTAGCTTGAAATAAACTCTCAAAATGATTTGAGGCAACTACGTGACCCAAGTCTGAATAGATAATGAGTGGTGCCAGTTACTGACCTTTTTTGGAAGCCCTCCTTAATCACCCACAGGAAGTCTATACTCACTACCATGGAGCTCGTCCTTTGCATCCGTCAGCATCAGACCTAACCTACTCAGTGCTCTAGGTGGTTAACCCCAACAGGGCACACTAGCAGCCTCCTGACATCACAGCTGACACCACAGCCCCCTCCCTTCATCAGGGAAGAGAAGAAGAGACGTGCTGTCCGCTGCTGCCGGCGGAGGAGGCAAAAAGCGGCCGACATTGGCCAGGAAAATCTCCCAGTGTGCCCTGCTCGCTGAAATGCCCATTTGCAAAGCTGACGAAAGGGAAGCTGGCATCTATTAACTGCAAAAATGAATCAGCCGGACAGCGAGCCTGTTCTGTCCAAGAGCAGGTTTACTGTCCGAGAGGAGATGCATCGTAAATTCCAGCCAACTGCCAGGGTTACGTACCTGCAGTTTGGTATAAGAGGCATTGACTAGTCCATTTCTCAGAACAGAGTGCCAGTTCTCTATATGGGAACCACTAGAGCAAGTGTAGAGAGAGGGAGAGATAAGAAAGAAGAGATAAAACAAAGTGCTGTGGGGATATAAACGCTGTGGATCTCAGTGTGCAACCGCTGCAAGTGTAGTGGCCAGATCCACGCTGTTCATTTTGTCTGTGACCTTTAATTCACTAAAAGAGACATTTACTATTATTTAATTTAATATTATATTTTCAACATTTAAATGTGTCACAAATTACTCTAATACAGCTAAAATGTGTTATATTAGCTGTACCGCTTTTTAGTTATTATTATTAAGTATTTTGTGAGCGCAAATTCAAAATCATGAGGAGAGAAGATTCAAGCTCTCTTCTGCCAACAACAAAAGAGCTACTGTAGTCGTCTATTTATACAATTTCTGACAAGGATATTTTAGGACATTCTGTTATATCATCATAAGCCTCCAAATTTATATCATTTAACACTAAAAAAAAGTTTTAAAGGATGAAGATCAAAGCTGACAACCCATCACTGCGCTCTTTCAGTACAGGACGGGTTATTTTAATTTCCTCCCCTGTGCATGTGTCTGGACCGTCTTAAAATGAAATATAACGGTCACAGCAGTGTCATGAGTGCCTTTATTTTTAACTCATTTTGAAGCAGTATGAAGTTTTTATTCCCACAGTCTCATAAATAAGCAGGGGAAAGTTCTTAATTTCACTAATCAGCCATGTATGGATTCCCTTCTAAATAATGTACTTATATGTACATGTATTTATATGTTGTATGTTTCTATTTATATCAATATAAAATAATGGCAGCCAAGGTGACATAAAATTTGGCATTTCCTGTTGAGAATCATTAAATTTGTAGTATTATGCAGCATGAGACTGTTAGCACTGCTCATGAGTTAGTCGTACCCTGCCAGTGCCCAGATGGGCCATGTGTATCTAAAATATTCAGCAAAGCCCCATCTGCTACAGTACAAATCGCTATCTCACAGATATTTCTGGCTCAATGTGCTGGCTTAGCAAGGTGGTTTCTCTGTCCAAGAGAATGGCCGCTGCTCTGTGCTGTTGTTTGTTATGGTTCCATAAAAATCTGCTTGAGTGGCTCCTCCATCCGCAACATAATGACCAGGTGTTACACTGAGACACGTTCATGTTTGACAGAGTGTATTGCTGTAATAGTAAATTATGCATGCATTTAGTGACTATGCTTGATTTCAGATCAATTATTTACAATAAGTGATTTCCCACATTATATACAGCCACAAGCTTTACAATGTAACATTTTCAAACTATTGTCTGATATCTTATAACAGCCTGAATGATTTTAGGCTTCATAAGCTTCAAAGTAATGATTCAACGAAAACATGGAGCCTTGATTGTATGACTGCTGCATCAGCTAATGAGAGGAACAAAGTGGACTCACTGGAAGGCGAAGGTGCTGCCATATAGCTTCTTGGCAGTGCGAAAACGAGCTTCCTTGGCCGGGGGGCTGCTGAGCAGCAGGAACTGGTGGGAGGTGTGCATGAATTTCAGTTGCTATTACAATAAGATCATAAGGGACATAAGTGAGAGCAAGGGAGAGACAAACAGACAGACAAAGAATGAGTATGAACCATCAAATTACGTAATGTAGCATTAAAAAACTCAGTTGATAGAGGACACTTCTGGTGTCATTCTGGTTCCCTACCCTACTCAGAGGCAGCTTGACAATGTGGGACCTGTTACTGGAAATAATCCTGCAGTGAGACAGAGACAGGATAAAAAAATTCATAAAATAATGTAACAGAATTGAAAAAGTACCCAACCATTGGTACATCATGAGATTATGACAAAGCCAACATGCACAATAGCCGGACCATGAAACCAAAGCAGCTAAATGAAATTCAGCCATTATTTATTTTATTATTTACACCTGCACTTTTTCTACTGTGACATGTCATGTTTTTTTTCTTTAATGAAAAAAGGCTGCTGCCATTAGCATTATTGTGTTGTCCATGATAATTTGTATGCTCTCTACTGATGAGTAGTGCAATATATTAATTTCCAAAATTAAATCAGATCCTGTTAATATGCAAAGCTGAGTAAACCCATTTTTCGAACAGATCTTCTCCACTCACCATTGTAGCAGGGGATGGGCCAGAGGGTCCAGTTTGTCCATCTGTTTCTTGATCTCTAGATATGAGCCCTGGAAGAACCACAAGCATGTGCTGTTTTCAGTTGGTTCTTGTTTTTTTTCCACATATTCTTTCCAAAGCCAAATGAGCAAGTGTTTAGATACAGACTTATGGCGTGTTGTACATATGCAGTGAAGCCACAGTGTTATATAAAATAGAAAGAAGAGATGAAGATAAAGAAGATAAGCTTATCATCAACAACTGATTTAGTTTTGACTTAAAAACAAAGACCCCACCCATGCAGCTTTAACACCACAGTCCACAAATACAGTTATGGGGTAGACATAGAGTGATATTATATAAACTAAAATAACTGTAGCTTTGATTCACTGTGGCCCTTCCCTTCTCTCCCTCCCACCTCCTTCTTGTACCTGGGTCATTTCCCGGATGGACATGACGCTGTCCAGTGCTTTCTGCAGTCTCTCATAATTCTTCTTCTGTGTTCATCGGTTGAGCCAAACATCCATTGTATGCGATGAGAGTGGGAACAACATACAGACATCTAAAATCACTTGTAGAGGTATAAGTTTGTAAAACATTGTTACTATTTTTCCATGTAATGAAAAACATTTTTTTATCAGATACTCATTGCACTGTACATACAAGATACAACTAATAATAACTTCATGCAAAAATATTTTGGAGTATTGTTCTGTCAGCAGCAGTGGTTTTAACAGAGTAGGCTTTGTGTTTTTAAAATGGATGTGTCATCTTGAACTGAATTTGTCTATTGATCACAGTTAGTAATCACGATTTGAGCAGTGAGGATGCTGACCTTTGGGTTGAAGGCCAGAGTCTTGGGGTCATTTGGGTCAACAACTGATGGGTAGGGCTCAAAGATGATGCTCTTACGGGGAGACTCGAGAGCAGCTCGACACATAGCCACAAGCAGGTCCACCACCTGGGGAAAGAAGAATTTGACATTTATGTTGTATTCCTTTATCCTGTGCGGCTACCAACTCATTGTCAGTAACCTGCCTCTGTTCCAATATGTATAAACTACAAATAATCAACAATTAACATCATCACATCAAATGCGATCAGTGTCTGACCCTTGTGTTTTGCTTTTCTCACATGAATATTTTATCCTTTAATCTAAAATCCAAAAGGAGTTTGGGGAAAATATAAATAAATCAATAGTCTGAATTATATCATATGCTATATGTTGTTATGTTGTTGTCACCTCTGCTCCAGTGGCCACTTCCTCTGCAGCTCCTGACATCACCCCCAGAGTGTAGAAGGAGAACACACACAGCTCCCTGGTGCACACAGCCGGCTGTATAACACACACACACACACAGACAAAAAATACTCTTAATTCAATGTGTGCTACACATATACACAAAACCAAGTACACGGCATGCACACGCATACTGACACACACTGTCGTTCTTTGTCTTGCTCTCTTAAAAGTTCAATTGTGGAAAATCCAGTAACGGGATCATATTACTAAGAGAGAGAGACACTGTATTTTTCTCTCTACCTTCAACATGGATCCATTCTGAAAGACGTGCTGCTCGTCGCACACCACGCAGTACTCGTTGAGCGTGGGGATCCTCTGCTCTGAATACTTCATTATCTGTTTGGAGAAAAGCACAGTGGTGTTCCCAGTTATCACTCCCACCTGTAGCTCTGCCATATAAAGCAACTAGTTTGGCAGCAGCATTGTCACAAAACTACAAATCTGTGCTGCAATTACGCCTGGCTGAACCTGTTACAAGGTTCTAGCACAAAAAGCCCCACCCTCTGTCACCGCCAGTTACCAGCAGATACACAATACCCGAAACAGTCAATCACATCTGACCAGATTGTAAGGTAAGCCTTTATTGTTGCTTACAAACATACAGCACTGACAATTGTTTGCCATGTTTTTGGACTGTAGAAATGACAGGTTGTATAAGTGCCTTGTTAAGTAGACTCATATCTCCTTGAGGTCTAACCTGCACTAAGAAGCCGTACTCCAAGGTAGGGATGTTCTTGCAGTGGCCGCCCGCCTGGGATGAGAAAAACAATTCAATCAGCTGCCTCGTGGTAATCTGCGCTGGGGCCCTGGCCGCCGGGACAGCCACAGTCTGATGAGTCAAGTGAAGACAAAGCATTATGGGAAACGGTGCACCAGCCATTTTACGGTAGGGGTAAGGAAAGGCTCAGGTGGGAACAGTGCAGGTGGCGGGTGACTGAGAAGAGGGTCGGAGTGGATCACAGAGGATTAAAACGGAAAAGAACAATGTACAGTGACTTTATCAGGATTTTGCAGAATTGTGGATGATTTTGAACCCCTTAACAAAGCATCATGAGTTTTTCTACATCAGCATTGTTTCAAGTAAATGAGAGGAACTGTGATCAGAGTTGGGACCACAATGTGACGTGCGAGTGAGACACATTAAAGACAAATACGTGGGAGGACAGTGCAATTTTGTTAATTTCACAAATTACAATTGAAAATGAATGGTATCTGACTCCAAAGGTGTGAGGTGTCTGGGTGCACACTGGCACTGACCTGACTGTTTGGTGGATAGCTGAAGAGCTCCCCTTTAGGGTTCTTCATGGTACATGAGATAGAGCGGTTCATCAGGCGGGTCACTCTCAGCTCAGGGACACTTAGCTTTCCTTTTAAAACTGTGTCTTGGATCAGAGGAAAACTTGGAGACCTAAAAAGAAGGCAACACACAATTCCTGCGCATCACTAGTTGTCATATGGTTTCAAAGCAAAAAAGAAAGAAATTCAGCTTATTGTCATAAAGTAAAAAAACAACCCTAATTGCAACATCTCCTTAGCTGTAAATCCTGTATGGTAAGAGTGCAATGTATCTACAGTGTCAGCCCCTGGGTAATTTTATAGTGACTGGTGTTCTCACTCATACTACACTTGCAGTATTATACTAGCTCAGACAACTGAAATCTGTTTGGGCAGCAGCTCAAGTCACTAACTGTTAATATACAAGAACTAGTGTTCACTTCCACCATCACTCTCAGTACATTATCCATGTACACTCTTGACATGAGACTCCTGTCAAGTTGTGAGGGTGTCAAGACAGCCTGGTAGTTAGTGCAGCTGACCTCCATCGAGTGGGCCGGGATCCAATCCCTCTGCACCCATAACTGTCAAAGAATCCCGGACAAAGACAGAGGCCGAGAAGAGTACTTCCCCATGGGGGAAATTGGTTGAGTGTGTCAGATTTTGAATTTAAGTCAATCTGCAACATGCTGTGTCAGAGCTTCCTTTCCCCTGCTTGTCTCCTTTGCTACAGTTCATATCTCACAGACAAACCTTCGCAAAGTATTTCCATCACTATCTTTACAGCTCGCAGTTAGTTCACAAGATGGATCGCATTTTTACTCTGATCCCACAGAAATCTTAGTGATCCACTCTTAGCTTGTATGTGAGTAAATGTATGGATACTGCACCTCTCTAGATAAGACATCACAAAGTGCTTCACAAAAGAATGAAAAAGAAAGAACATAAAATAGAGACATAACATAGAAGTAATCAATAAAATAGACACACTGCAGACAGTGAATATCTCCTAGTCAAGACATCTCCAGAATGAGGTGTTAAGAGCATTTTGTGACCAGGAACAGATTGAATCACTTAAGTTTAGGGTTGCCTAAAATACTATCATATCCATATCCTATATAGAAGATATATATATATATATATACATATTTGTTCTTTGATGAAAACGTGCAACAACCGAAGAAAGCTGAAACTGCCCTATTTTTCAATATTTATTAAAATTGCTTTCACCTTAGTTATAGAGAAGCTCTCAAATATCTACGTATTGTGGATGTTATGCCAACATAATATTAAAATCAAGTTTAGAAATAAATCAGGACAATAACTAATCTGTATCTAAAGCAAGCATCACAATCACAGTATAACAGGTGAACTGCAAACTACAGACGTGTTGATTTTGCAATGAAATGAAAAATGAAATATATCCAAGTATTGGCCAAAATGTCAATATATTGCATCCCTACTACTGTATCATGTCAATATACGACATGCATATTTGTCTATTTGAAAATATTACATATATACATAGCACACATTTCCTCTGAATTTTGAGTGTCGGTAACTAGCCTAAAATGTGCAGCATACAAAGGCATGGCTGTGTAGATGCCTTGAAAGAGGTACAGAGAGAAAGAGCGAGTGAGAGAGAGAGACCTACTTGGGTATGGGGGAGAAGATGCTGAGCCCGGCGCGGAACTTCTTGATGGTTCCACCGGCTTTGAACCAGCTGTGCCTTTTCTCCTGCTGGGCCTTGAGGAACTCATTACTGAGGTGCTTCCACTGCTGTGAGGTGAACGTGCTCAAAATCCTGCCACAAAAAGGGAGAAGTGAGCAGGAAGAAATGTCGGAAACATGTCGGTGTACATTATTATTTTGCGTGACCTGATTAGTCAACCAAAAGATTGCAAAGGCTAAGACTACAATTAAATGCATCTATTTTGTAAGACCACTTTAAATTGAAAAATAAATCATCTGTGATTTGCTTATGCAAAATGTTACTTTCTTTGGAAAACTGAGGTTAAATTCTGAAAATTTCTATGCACAATTTATCTATGAAACATTATAAGTGACATGACTTACTTTTTGAGCTGCAGGCCCAGGCTGAAGCCTTCTTTATTGGAGGGTTGGAACACTTCTACTGACGGCTCTGAGTAAAGATGACTAACATTATTACACAGTGCAGAGATACACACACACACACACACACACACACTTTCTTTCACTCTCCCTCTTGTATTGCACATATCGTACTCACCTCCTACGCTCAGTGAGTGGCACAAATACCTAAAGTCCCTCCCAGAAAACCAACATCCACACTGACATCTTTACTCACCAGGTCCGTCGAGGTACTGAGAAAGAGAAAAGCGCAGTCTCAGAATAATGGGCTCTGTTCTGATAACTTTCCAAGCTGTTGCAACCTCCTCCTGAGTCAGACACACACACACATACACACATACACACAAATATACAGAGTTAGCAACCTAATTAGGGCCATTTCTCATTGCATAAATTAGTTATGAGCATACGATGCATTATAAATGATGTGTTACTTTGCAAAATGTCAACGTTAGAATAGTAATGGGCAAAGATGGAGGAGGTGTTGTGCAGAGAAAGAGGAATGCTGACTCACATCTAAGAAACTGATGTTAATATGAAGATCGATGTCCACGTCATCGATGGTTCCATACTCCCTGTTCAGAGACACAGCAACAGATACAGTTCATTCATCATAAGTAATGGGATGCACTCCAACCCTTGGACTAACTGATTATTCATTGAGGGAGAAAAATAAGGGTTATTTTTCCTTCTCTGCCAGACAGTGCCTAGTTAAAATTAGTACATCATTTCTTTGAATCGTGCCTGGGCACAGCGTGTGGCAAATTAAGAAGCACAAGCACACTGAATACCCCATACCACCACTTGGTTATTTTGTTTGTTTCAAACATTTTCAAAATAGGTCTCAAACAGTTGTGTGTGTGTGTGTGTGTGTGCTCTGTACCTAACAGAGACAGCACTGTCTGTGTAGATGTCTTTTACTGCCTCAATATCTGCATCCAGTTGAGGGTGACGGTACAGGTCAGCAGCACAGCTTCCCTACAACAAACAGTACATTAACACTGGTCACAATTACAGCACAGGAAATGCTACAGAACAGTGGTTCCCCAGCGTTTTTGTCTGACGTACCCCAACAGCCCCTGTTCAAGCAACTTTCACTGACACCATTTGACTTGACAGATGTTATTTAACATAATTGATTATTTTTAGGGATGGCTGATATTCACTAAAAAATTTAATATAGGGAATTATCGGTATCGGGTTTTTATAACCAATGTTTGTTCTGTAGGCTTCAGCATTTCCGAGCTTGCGTGAACGCAGCATGGGACGTTTACCGGCGCGCGCTAGATGACATATAACAACAACAACACACGCTAGACTGGTTGGTTGCTAACCGTGGCTAACAAGCAAACAATTTAAAGCTGAATGATTTTAATATTAACACAAAATAAGTGCAGTGCACCTTAAATATTTGACCCTGCTATGAGCTGTTCCTTAACCAAACGAACAATTGGCTTAAAATTTACATTAGCACTCCTTCAGGTGAATAATACAATTAAACACATTAACCAAAGCTAGCGCTTAGCTAGCAATTAGCGTTGGCGCTCTTTTCAGTATTAATACAATGAAAGTTGAAGTTGTTCTCTTATTTTGCACAGACAGTGTTTACATTTGGAAAGCCATGTTGCATTTATGTATGCATCCAGTGGGGCATCACAATAAAATTAGGCATAATGTGTTAATTTCACAATAGGAGATATGTTATGTTGTTACCTAACAACAGTTTTGGTGTAAAAAGCCTGCATATATCGGTATCGGGTGATATCGGTATCGGAAATTGAGAGTTGGACAATATCGGAATATCGGATATCGGCAGAAAAGCCAATATTGAGCATCCCTAATTATTTTAAATGGACAATGATATAATAATGTTTGCACACATTTGTGTTTAGGTTTGGTTTGGTCAAGATTGCATTCAAACAACAACTACGTGTAATAGCGGAACCTAAAGCTTTCAACCATTCATCCATTACTTTAAGCTATTTTGACTGTTTATCCATTACTTTCAGCTACCTCTAAGCTCCCTTGCTAACTAGATTTTAACACTCATTCGCAGCACATAGTGTTCAGATTTCACAGCTTAATCAATATGTAAATACTCTTTTAATCTTTCACTTCTTCAAGACACGTTTCAGACCAGGTTATCACGGCATTTGCATGTTATGAAATTAGATCCCAGTTGTAAAATATCTGAATCTTGCGTTAGGAAGTCCAGTTCATAATGTCTTGTTCCCTTTAGTCAACACTCCTGATTCAAACATATTTTATACTTGTAATAAACTCAGACAGTTACTTGGCATTTGAGAAATCATTTGTAAATTTTTCTTGACAGTTTCTTTGATAGAGATGAGGTTACGTCATGGATGTCAATGTTCATCTTTTTCATATTAAAATAAATGTTATATATATTATTTTATATATTATTTAGTGATGGTTTTACATCCTGTCAGGTAGTTGCCTCTGCACATTTCATATCCTCCACAATTACATTTTCAAGTATTAATAATAATAATAGCTGACCTAGGTTTGTCATATGTGTTCCTGGTGTCTAGACTTGAAGTCAGACTGTCGTCTCCTCAGCTCTGAGTGAGTAGAACAGATCCCACACTTTCATCCTTATCTTCACTACGCTGCTTTCATGTTCTCTTATTGCACAGAAATGAGCTTTAAGTCCCAGACTGGATTTACATTTCAATCATAAGACTTGGAAGATAACAGTAAAAAAGGATGACTAACAGATTAAGATCTTATACGGAAGTGAAGTATTGAACTTTACGAGATGAGATGATACATGAAATGGCAGCCAAGGAAATGGATTTGACAGTGTTGCTTCGGATTGATACTTATTCAATTCAATTTAATTAAATAGAAAACTTTATTTATCCCTGAGGTGCAATTTCTGAAACCTAAAGTTGCATGTGGTGATAGTACTGAACCTGTTATTTAGTGGTAAATGTCAGATTTGCTAAGCCCCTTACATTTTAACAGAATATCCTGCTTCAGATGAATTCAAATTGTTTGCCCTGCTGGCGTTAGAATGGAAATGTCAGTCAGCCGGTCCATCTGTTCTGGACCACCAGAGCAAAATATCTCAACAACTCAACATTGCCATGACATTTTGGTCTGAATATTCATAATCCCCCCAGAAATGATTCCTAATGATTTTGGTGACCTCTGACTTATTGCCCGGAGCCACCATCAGGTAAAAAATTCCCCTTGACCAACACACACACATACATAGCGTCATGAAAACTAGTGGCCAGTTCTCTTGCAGTGGTTATTCCTTGTTAAATGATCAAATTATGTGCTTTTTGTCAAACATTTTCTGCTTTCAACATATTACAACAGTAAGACTTGTAAGTCAACAAAACACATCCTATCAGAAGCTCTTTTACAGCTTGCTGGGAACTAAAATAATCTTATTTGTAAAAAATATATTTTAAACAGCTAATTTAAGGTTATTATAATTTGACAACAATACTGACTAGCATCGGTGAAAACAAAATTTTAGTATTGTCAAATACCAGATTAAATAATAAAGATTTACTGCAGAAAGAGTAATAGCCTCTGCTGTACCTGAATGCCATACAGGAACTGTTCTGACTCGTTTTCCCCGTCCGACTCCTCGTCTGTCCAACACTGGCCTTTGATGTCCTGTGGGCCCACACATTGTGAAACGGCCATTACAGTGGAGTGGAAAGAAAATGCAACCTCTTTCTATCATCCTTTTATCTCACATCCTTTCTCACATCTCCCTATTCAGCCCCCCGTTCAAGGGCTTCAAAACACTGCTTTATATGGCATCTCAAAGAGAGAGACAAACAGGCATTATTCATTTCCAAAAGACTGGATAGTCTCTGAATTCATCTTTCAGAAGTATATTCAACTGACAATTAAAACGGATGCATTCATAAAAATATCTGTCTTTTGTTATAAAAATAACCATGTCTCCTGAAGCCTGGAGGGCCTGTTGCATAAACATACAGTATTTAACTTATTCAATATTCTTAGATGAAGTTAATACAGCAAGTGTCTGTGGAAAATCTGCATTTCTGCAAGTAGCCATAACAGTGTAATTTTATTTAATTTACCACTTAAGAAGACCTTAACAAAGCCATGAATGAATGACACAGCTTAATCATATGCAGGGATTACACCAATAGAATCCTAGCTGTCTTACCATTGGGTCTGCTGTTCATAAGGCTCACTCAGACAGGTTTAGGCCTTTGATTACTGCCAACCATTGCAGCCTATTTCCAGGTGGAAGGAACGAGAACAGAAAACCACAGAGCTTTGACTGACCACCTCTCTTTCTTGCACTCTTCAGAATTGCAAAACCTTGGAGAAATAGAAATTAAAATTCAGTAAAGGAAGAAAACATGAAACAATAGAGGCCATCTCCAGTGATGCCATGCTTTGTAAATGGTGCCCTCCTCCTCTTTTCTTTAAATGGTCTGCACTTCACCTTGCCATGTATCCTAGCAACAGCCATCTCTGCCTCCTTTCAGAGTGGCATTAATCACTGTGGAGAGAATGTGTGGGAGATATGTGCTGTACGTTCAGTACCCAGGATGTCTCAATTTCTTTGTTTTGTTTTTTTCCTGGAACTGCTATTAATATTGAAACACCAAAGGTTGGTACACCGTTATAGATGCACAGTGAAAACAGCACATCTGCTGATGTCAGTGCATTGTTGGAATGACGATTTAGATTTTCCTGGCAAATATATGGAAGGGTTTGCACAAGCAGAGCGCAACGGGTGTAGAGTAGAAAATCAAAGACGTTTCTCAAGAATTTAACAAAATAAAATAATGGCTGCCTATAAAGGACTAGCCACAGCTGTTTGCGATCTTGCATTTTATATGGTCCAAATTTAGAGATACATTTTGACAAAATCAGATGAAAAGGTAAGGGTAAACAACATCACTGATATACCAGAGACAGCTACAATACACATGTATTTCATAGCGACCCATCATGTTTTATGTAAGACATGTAAACAATGAGCATGGTTCCCTTTTAACGAGAAGCTGCAGACGCATAGTTGCTTGTTTCACACTGCAGCATCAGAATACAAATTCAAATTTACACAGTCTAGTGCATATCGAGCCAAAGTAATAAAATAATTCCTAACATATATTGAGACTGGATCCTGACACGTGCAAACAAAGACTGGGTGGAAATGTAGCTTGGCACTACAGGACCTTTACAAAACCATCAAACATGAAGGCATCTATGCTATTTATAGTAGGTCAATACGATAAAATTAACACCAATTATTCATTTCCTCTTTGTTTGCTGCACTAGCATAAGACACTTAGCTCATCTCTACCTTAGATTGGGCTACCATCTCCATGTCCACACAGAATAATCATAATGCTGTGTTTTTCTCTTCCTGATTATGGATATTTCCTTTTTTCATGTTACGGTGTGGCTCCTTACTTGTCTGAAACACACTTCCGACATCAACTGCAGCCTATTAAAGACGGCTCCCCCCCGTCATTACCACGTCTTCCACTTCATCTCCTCTCCTTTTCTTTATGTGCCTGCTGCCCTGCCATGTCCTCAACCCTGCTAGCATCTACATCCCTCCACCACCCCCACTCCCCGCCATTCCCACAGCCTCTGTCGTCTCACATACCAATAGTCGCCAACAAACCGGGCCCCCCCTCCTCCAATATCCACCACCACCGTACCCATTCCGCCTTCTGATAATATTCAACACAAACACAGATGTAGTCAGGCAGATTTTCCCCTCCCCCCTTGCTCTGCACTCCTACCCCATACATCCACACTTACCTCCAAAGAGGATGGATACTCGGATGCTGTCCTTGCTTCAGCTGCTCCCCCTCTTAAAGGGCACACCTGCCCCTCTCTCTCGGTGGCTGTTTTCCACTGAAACAATAGATGACAGTAAGCCCATTAAAATATTAGAGAAAGCAGAGCCACGATCCCCCAATTCTTCGGCGTCTATCTCTCGGTGCTTGTGGTGTGTCTGCGAGCAATCCAGCTGGTGTGTGTGTGTCTGTGTGTTTATCTATTGCAGATCTCTGCTCCTACTGCTGTCTTATATTTTGCCTGACAACACTGAGGGGTCTGAGCATGCTCAGTGAGGCCAGGCAAGCCAGTCATGTGACCTGCAGCTGACTGCACTGCTGCTGAGAAATAGGAGAAAAAATGGAGGAGAAATGGCCCTGCTCGTGTATATGAGCTTGCCTGTTTGTTTGTGTTTTTTGTGTAGTTGCATAAGTCATTGTCTATTAATGTGAAATGATGCTTAGGGGGCAGCTTCCGTAGTTATATTTAAGTGTTTATTTATCAAAATGTATTCTAAAGTAAAGAAGCCAGAAAGCACAAATATGCTTAATGATGTACAATTTGTACAATTTTAGAAGGACAGGGTGGTGGTTCTTAATGTAAATGTATATGTATCGGTATATGTGAACAAGACGTAATGCATAATTGATAATATAGATGTTAGGAAAAGCTTAATGATACACTTTAGCTGCACTGCAAGCTGTATAGATGCAGCAATACATAGACTTAATTGATCCAACATTCAAATTATATGACAATAGTACTAGTTATATTTTAGTAACATCTTAAAAAAATATTACATTAGAAAAATATCACATCTGCTGTGTCCACAATAAACCATGTCATTGTGAGCATAGGCTTTTGAGCTAATCAGTCTTTACCCTTATTATCTCAAGGCATCTATTTAAGAACTGACCTAAAGAATGGACAGATTAATGAACAGGTGTTAAGCCAACTGTCTGCAACTGCTCAGTGTGTGGCTGCAGTCGGGAGACGAAGAGAAAAATAAGATCTTCAAACTTTTATTAGACACACCAGTAAGGCAAACTAAAGGGCACCCTAATGGCACAATATAAATATGGGGAACAATGTGACATTATGCCATAGCTGCTTTGTCAACCACTGTTATACTGACTGGTACTTCTTGTTTATCAATAGGTGTTCCAGGTTCAAATGAAGAATTCACTATAGTAGAAGCCCTAGAACAATCCCCCACCTTCCACCAACAGTGCAACTGTCCATCACTGTTAAACAACAATCTATAGATAATATTTCAGGATACAGCTGAAAATTAAAATTGCAACATCATTAGAACTTTCTGAATTCTAAACTCTGAAAATATCTCTCTCTGAAAAATAAATACCCCCAATATATATAATTTGGTCAGCTAAGAACACACTTTATCTACTTTAAAGTAAAATTCAACGCTTGCCTTCCACTAAAGCAAACGGTAATTTGTCTTGACTGTGTCTCATTTCATTTTGCACTAGGGGAGTATGTGTTATTTTCACAGATCTTCCAATATTTCCCTCCAATACTATCGAAGGAGAACATTCTTTTTAATACTGATTATGTATGTATTACTAATGTGTCCCATTAGTGTTATTTTACATCTATTATGTCTTTTCTTTGTTTTTCTTTTTCTATCCTATTACGACCACAATGTAATCAATACATAATTGAGCTATTTTAGTTCTTCTGTGGGCCTTAATGGAGTTGGCTTTATTTCCCCTTGTTTGTTTTTCCCTGTTTATCTATATTCATAGGCATCAGTTTCTGTACTTGTGCAGTAACAATACATTCAAAAGCATTAGGACGTCCTATCTGCTCATCTCTGAGATTTATCTGAGAATATTCCCACAGTGTCTTACTGTACCTCGTGGCCCAAGGGTTAGCTGCCTTTAATACTGACTGACAGCCAGGGGCTTGACCAGTGGACAGGGTGACTGGACGGCGGATCTGTCCCTCACCTGGACAGGTGTGTCCATTAGGTCTTAGGTAGTGGAGTGGAGTGGATCCAGGCAGAGGCTGCCAGCAGCCAGTGAGACAGCAACATGGGCAGTGGAAGCAGCAGTGCTAACACCACCACAGCTGTGAACAGGTGAGAGCAAAATGGGACGGAAGGGGAGGAAACATCGATCCAATGAAGAGTGCACCCTTACAGTAGTCCACAATACGGGGGGTGAAGAGTAGCATTTTCTGTATCTGCAAAGTCAATAGTACTTTGAGGGGCATCTTTGCCAGATTAATTTGTCTAATCCCTGTTGCAGAGTTTGAATGTTAAGATTTTAATCTCACTATGGTTGAGATATGGTAGGCAGTTGTGTCTGCGGCAGGGATTTAGTTTGCCTGCCATCTCCTTGGCAGAGCTGATTATCACAACAACAGAATTAATCATGCTGGGGAACATTTGCGACATAGCTGTCTGCACTGGACAAACAGCAGATACCGTCATTAATATACCACAGCTAGTCAGCAGTGTGATGGTATTACACTCATCATCCCGAGGAAGTAACAACACAGTGATGTGTGTGTGTCTCCAACAAAGTTTCTCATGGTGTCTTGTGTGGAAATCAAATAATAATAATTATTACAATATTTAATGATGTTATAGCAACAGTAGTCGTAATAGTACAGCAATGCTAGGAGTCGATTTATTTGTATTTTGTATAATGGTGTTAGTATAGCAATACTGGTTGAGGAAGTAGGCTACTTGAAATATGTAGCCTCATTTTAAGAATGTGGAGTTAAAATGTAAAGTCAGTTAAATGAATAAATGATGTGAAGAACTATACCTAATACGTATGAAAAAGCTCGTGTTTTTCTTATACTCAATATGAAGTACGTAAATACATGCATAGAACTAAACCATCTTAAATCTGTTAGATTGTTTGCCATCACTAGATGGAGGTATTGGCTCAAACACTGCACAGTAGCAAGGTAGCAGCACACCACGAGGCTCCTTCAATTCATCACTGACTGGCTCAGAGCTACAAATACAGAATATCTGAGCCTCATTATTACATTATTTTAGACATTAAATATTGGGGAGCGAGCATTACTTTGGTAGCCTTTAACACAGTTACCTGCAATGTTAGGTAACTGTCGACGTTTGATGATGCTTTCCATGAACCATTTCGGCTGCCGATGATTTGCACATCCGCACGATAATGGAGCCAAAAACATAATATCATCATGACTCTTTACTTATCTGAATCTTATTAGGGGCCATTAAAATGGGCAAACACTGAACGGCTAAAGCGACCTAGGCACTGCGTTTGTCAGGAAATTGCAGCACGCCATCCTCAGTCACATGTCAGACTCCATGCGCTTCTGATGCATTCACGCGCTCCCATTGGTTCCCAACCTTGCCACCGCGTATCAGCGTATCCTTCCGCGTCGTTTTTACTTTTTTACTATTTTCTAACATTCCCTAAGAGTAATACTGATATAAAACACATATTTAAGTAGTCTGTGGTGAGTGCGGTTGGTATACATGTGTTAAAACGGTGTATTCATTTTCATTTATCTATATTCTCTCGGAAGGATATGTCTCAGCATCCCTACAAAGTAGTTCCGCAGAGTAAAGGAGTAGGAAGATCACCTTGAGCTGGTCTCACTGTAACGGCAGTTACATCGGCCCAAGCACTTGTTCAGCGAGGTAAGATGGGTATCTTTAACAGGTGCAGATTTCTGATCCAGTGAAGTGACCTGATAACTCTGGGACACTTGCGCTGCCACATTACTGCCTTTTAAACCATTCTGTGTTTTATTCAATATGTAGCTACATCATGTGCGCTGGTAAGTCATATGAGTCACAAGTGGCTTGTTTCCACTCTTTGTTACATGGCTTTTTAATTTCGGAACCATGTTTTATAATGCCAGTAGAACTGGACTGTGTGGTCAGCTTTAGATAAGCCATTTTAGTCATCCTTTGCGTGTTTGGTGTTCGTTCAACAACGTAGTGATTTGAAATGCAGTGAAGTTAGATGGGCCCGCGGAGGGAATTTGACCGTGCACTGAGCATTTTTTTTGTCTGTTATTAACCGCTAACACGGCGTAGACTTGTTTTTATCGCAAAACACGTTTAAACTGGTTGAAATGCAATGTGATGCGTGAAGTGTTGAACGTTGAAGAATCGCTTCCTGTTGCCTCATGTTGTAGGTGTGGTCGCTCCGTCTTCTCGGCCTCCTATTGGTCAGGTTTTGTGACTTCTCCAGATCAGGAAAATGTGACGCACGATGAGAACGTGACCTTTAGCGCATCGTATGCACCGTATTGCTGTGTGCTTTTAGTATATTATAGTAAAGTAACGATACGTTTTAACTGGTGACATGAATGCACGAAAGCTAAAACTCCCATTGATTATTTAAAGTTCTGTTTTATCGTCGTATTCCTTCATATGGCAGAATCAGTAGATAAATCCGTCACGTTCATCCTTTTATTCATCCATCTTTCCTGTCACATTTCTCATACACTTAAAATAGACCTGTAAATCCTTCTCTGGGTTGTAGGAAATAACCATCCTATGATAAATGTAGTTTGAAATGTGTGCATTGCCATATCAGCTTCACTGCAGTAGTTTGCTGCAGTGGTGCCACTGATAATAGGCCTTGTTGACACTGAATACATGGGCAGGAAGGTCTATGTTGTAGGTAGTTATGGCTTTTGGCTCTCTATTTGACAGCTTGAACGGCGTCGTCCTTGGAAAGTGATCACTACGCCTTGTTTTTAAAATAGAAAAGATGATATAATTAAGGCAGGGCTTTATCTAAATCGGCATATTTAAGTCTAATGTCATACGACATATGTAGCATATGCCTAGGCGGAGGGTATCGCCTGCATATGCTTTATGTTGAGAGAAATAATTGTTTGCAAAATTCTGGAAACACTGTCATTGCTATGTCCTTCCTGGCTGAAGGCCCTCTTCACAAAATGGAGTTTATCCCAGAGGACCAGTCAGGCCGTAATGTCAATGTTGAACTGATGAGCTCAACAAAGGGAAGTGCCTGTTACTTAAACCTGGGTTGTTGACTAGGAGTAGAAAACTTTGGAGGATTAGGTTTTTTTATTTATTATTCCATTACTCTCATGAGTCCGTAAACTTTACCTAAAAGGTCTGGAACTTAGTCATCACACTGTAAGTATACAGTGTTAAATTGGAATTTTAGCTGTGGCTGTTATTCTACTTTAAGAAGCACTTTGGCAGGTAACCAGCCATTTGCAAAAATGATAATGAATTGCGGTGTCCAATTAATAGATGGCACAACTGCTAGTTT